AATTTTTATCTTCCTTATCCTCGTTTAATAAAAAAGTTATAACTGCGTTACTTCGAGATATGAAGCGCTTTAAAAGGAGAGAGAAAAGGAAGAAGAAACAAACGAATAGACACACGCACAATTGCGACAACGAGCCAATTATATTTACATTAGAAAAAAAAAATCGTCGCAGCGTGTATATACACAGTATATATACAGTATATACTGTATACAAATTATTTTTTCGTGTAATAGCAACGAGCGGTTATTAAATTATTCCGGTCACGCTCGCGTTGAAAAAACAGAAACCGAGGCAGATAGAGATCTCAAGGGGTGGGGAGGGGGGAGAGGCGGCGGAAGGTTCGATAAAAAAAGAAGGAACGACGCGAAGTCTCTGCCCGTTTTACCGAACGCAATAAAAATACCGGTGTAACACAAATGCCGGGGCGAGAAGGAGACGGATGCCGATCGGAAGGGAGGGTGTGAGGGAGTGAGAGAAAAATAGAAGCGTGGTTGGTGACGTCACATTAACGACGGTGGGCCGAGGTGGGCCAACCACCAAGGTGCAGGAGGAGGAGGAGGAGGAGGAGAGGGGGGGGAAGAGGTTGAACGGCTTTCCATGATGTCATTGACTACGTGCGACCGTACCTGGTGGGGACGCACGAAAAGGGGTACACGATCTCGGGGAGGAGGGGGGTGGAGGCGTATCAGGAACAAGGGAAGGGGTGGAACACAAGCACCGCTATTCTTAGCCGCTTCAAACACCGTCCTCGCGCTCCGCGCTCCGTTGCGTAACAACACGAGAGACCACTCGAGAGAGAGAGAGAGAGAGAGAGAGAGAGAGAGAGAGAGAGAGAGGAGGTTTCTCGCGAAATGGCCACATCCGCCGATGGGACCGATCAACAACATCCGATTCTTCGATTCTTCGTTCAGAGGAAGGAATATATGGTTGATTTTTGGTTGGAAATGGAATTTCCAAGAAATGAATAAATTTGCGAAAATTGTTCGAAAATTGATTCGGCAAAGGAATCTTCGTGGAGAAAGATAGGGTGATTGTTTCTTTTTCTTAAATTTTGTAGCGAGTAAAATTTGAAAAAAAATTGCCCTACCGATCCGTTCTCGAGGGAGGAAAGTCATTGATTTTGAAGAAAAATTGTGTTCCAATTGTGCTTTGAGATTCTGACAAATTTCTTAGAACATCATATCAAGTAACGCTGTAATGAACGCTTGGTGACCAAGAGAGTCTCGACAGAGATCTCTGAGAGAGAGAGAGAGAGAGACTAACGAGGCTGTCGAGATTCCTTTAATCAGTCGTTTTATCAATCTCGCTCGTACGCGGGGAGAATAGTTTCAAAGTCGACGTTTGATCGATTAATTTTCCATACTTGGGCAATCCTTCGAGGTTTCGAGGATCGGGGCTTAAGGTCGACTCGAGCGAACTTTACATTCGCGCCAATGGGAGAGGGATCTTCGATGTATCGTGTCTTCTCATTGGCAACTTTCTAAGCTCGAATTCTTATATACCTCGCGTAAACCTGTCGTTCTTCGTATTTCTCGTGCACAATCCCTGAGAACGATATCGCAGGATAGTCGAAGGTCGTGCACGCTCGAGAAATCCTCATTCGCGTCCTTGCGCTACTCTCTTTCTTTCGTTGAAATTCTTTTCCTCGAGATTCTTTCTTTACCCTTGTTCCCTTTCATATAGATAGAATTCCTTTTATGGTGTTTTCAAATTGTTTCGTATCGCTGAGCTTTTTGTTCGCGATCCATTTTTTATCCAAAAGAATTCCACGAGGAACGTCTCGTTCCTTTGATAGAACAAACTTGAACATTAATATGCATGTACAGAGTGGGGGGGATACAATCCTTATATCGATTTCCTTTCCTTTTCGTTTCACTCGCGTATAACGTACATATATTGCATTATCCACGTTGAATGGATGAAGCATCCCCGATTATTGAAGTGGCAATTAAGATAAATTAATGGAGAGAGGGGGGAGAGGATTAAGATCGATTAATCAACGAAGGCGGAGGGAACGGAAATTGTGGCGCAATCGGATGAGATATAACCTCGAAATATTCCATTTGAAAAACAAAAGTATGCTGCGTCCGTCCGCCAGGATGTTCGCTACTTCAGGCTTTAATTTAAGACTTCCCACATCCCGGGAATGCTACAACGCAGAAGCACGCAATAAAAGTTTGACATTTCAACCGCCTCAGTCCCAGTAGGCATTAATTTCCGTCGCATCAATAGAGAGAGAGGAAACAAGTGAAGAAACGTCCGTAATCGAAGCGAGTGGAACTTCCTGGGTCCCGTAACCCCTGACATTTTCCCTTTTCGCGCCGCGATATACGTTCGTGACCCCATAAAAAAGAAAAAAAAAAGAAAAAAAAGGAATCCCGCGATGCTGGCTCAGCGTCAAATCAAAATGAGAAAGGAAAATCTCCGAGCAAAGATCCTCGTCTTCGATGAGGATGATCAATTCTCTGATATTTTTCTCATTTTTTCCTTTTTTTTTTTTCGTACGTACAAAGAATAATAATTGCGAAATGACGAAAAATGCAGGGAAATATCTGCCCACACCGAAGGCGACAAATGGTTCTGAACTCGTTCTGAACGCGAATGGAAAATGGAACACGTGGAACGAAATTCTTTTATATTTTTTTTTCTTCCTTTTCTTTTTTATTTTTTGGAGAATTTGACGCGTACGCTGTTAGAAGAAAAATTCAGCCGATACGACTCCTCTCCATGATGTAAGAGGGGACAATGGAATACCGTCGAAGTAGAAAATCTGCGACGAGGTCGCGCAGACCCAGTGAAAACGCGACGTACTATAACAAACCATTCAGGTGGCTGCAGGTGGTCGGGAGCAGACTACTTTCAGCTCCTTTCAACTCCTTTCACAGCGTCACCTTTCTTTCGTTTCCTTTGTGCATGTGGGGCTACATGTGTATCCTATTTTCGTATCGCTTTCTACCTTCCACCTACACACAGCCAAGAATTTTCGCGTGCCAGTTTTTTCCAGGGGGGGGATATTAGGAATCGGCGACAAATATCGGCGAAAAAACGGCGAAAAAAACGGCAATCGATTTCGTTTTCCTAAATAAATCCGGAAATTGCGTGTGCCGTGCTGTTCGATCTTTCTCTTCTCTTTTCGAGAATAAAAGATAAGATAAGAAAATGTTGGATGAAAAGAGAGGAGGAGAGAGGATTTTTAGAGAAATGGCTAGATCGGTGTATAAAAGTTTGAGGCTTAATCCCCAAGGGAATCGAATCAGGAGCATTCGGATCAGCCGTGAGCAAGCTTCGCTCTATGACTATGATAAATTATATAGTAGTGACTATTGATCTTACCGCGTTTAAGGTCAGACACTACGGCAAAATCGAGTTCCAGCCAACCATCGGTCCGCGAATAAATTCAATTTTCCCGCTCTAAATAACGGAAACGGTTCTTACAACCCCCCGAAGAGGTCGAGGATTCGTGTCCAGAAAATCACGATCACCGATAAAATATGTAAATTCCTAAGTTATTTCATCGTGGATAAACTTGTCTCTGTTAAGTGATCGCCAATCTTAGAGTTGGAAATTCCAACTCGAAGAAAATTGAAAATTACTTTTGACTCGTGATATTTAATTCCAAGAGGATTAAATATTCTCCCTTATAAACGCAGCCTTTGAGAATTCTTATCGAAGAAGTAAATCTTTTTTTTTTTTTTTTTTTTTTTGTATATTAATTTGATTATTTCGATCGTTTCAAAGATAACGTAAGCGAAGAATTTTTTTCCCCCTCCAAATCGATATAACCGTTTTTAATTAATATTAGAGACCGTTCGATCTATAAGCCAGATAATACCAGAGGAAAGGAGTCGAGGAAAGGAATTATTGAAATGATAAACTTGAAAATGGGTTGTACAGTATAGTATTGATATAATGAACGTCGTGAAAGTGAGTCAGTAGGGGAGACGGTTAATAGTGACTGACAAGAAGTTTTCACGATTTGACGCAAAATACCTCGTACATATAGAGAGCTTTATAGCTGGTTGGGAAAGGAAAGTTGAGACACGCAAAACCTATCGTTGAATTAATATTTCAATATTACTTGAACGTGTTTCGTAGTAGCTCGAATTTCAAAACGGAAAGCTATCGTGCAAGAAATATAACGAAACTATAATAATTTGTGTCGTGATTGTTATCGTGATACCTTGAGAAAAACACAGAGATTCGAAGAAATCGTGGGACGTGATAAATATATACGATAAATATACTTTTTTTCAGAATATATAGTAAACTTATATTTTTTCTCCTTTCCTTCTTTTCTTCTTCTTCTTTTCTTTCTTTTTCTTTTTTTTTTTTTTTTTTTGCAAATGTTTACAAATAACGTTTCGTGATAGCTCGTGAAACCGAGTATCGATTGCAATTCACGAACGACAACGAAGAAAAACTGGTAGGTTTCTAGAGGAAAAGTTGGCAGTGGATATAGTTCGCCTCTATTCTTGAAAATCCAAGAAACAATGTCCGTAGAAAGTTAATGGGGCTTGCCAAGACGGGATTAGCCGACACACCGGCTCGGAATTCAGGATGTCCGGTTTCCTACTCCGACTGGTGGAAATCTTGCCAGTTTTGAACCTTCAATTCCCTGGCTCGTTCCCCACAAAAATTTATAACGTTCACGCTTCTGGTTTCGCGATTAAAATTAATCTTTCCGCTTGTCGACCAAAATTATTTCGATCGAATTTTAGAAGAAGAAGAAGAAGAAGAAGAAAAAAAGATTCGTATTTCTTTCGAGGGGGAAAGAAAGAATAATCGGTCTGAAACGAGATCTCGACTCGAAAGAATGGAAATCACAAGCTCTCGTGAAGAGGTTCTAGCTCTTCTAGGGAGGGGGAGAAGAAGCGAATAGAAATTGCGACAAGATCGATATAGCGAGGCTTTTCATTATAGATTGGACGGTTAGAACGGTAGATATGTCAAAGGTTATCCGTGTAAGGTGTAATCGGTTATTAAGAGAGAGATGACTCACCGTCTTTCCTGTAGTAAAGGATCTCGAAATGCTTTTCGACGCCGGCGGCGAGGGCGTCGCGGAGGGCTGCGACCGCATGGGGCGACGTCATTGGCCCATGAAGGAACTCGCAGATCGCCGGCCTCTGCATCACTTCCGCCCTCGAAAAGCCTGTCAGCCGGCAGAAACCGTCCGAGCAATATATTATGTGACATAGTCCCTGTTGAGCGTTGGCCACTAAAAAACTTCGATCTGCAAAAGGGACAGAAAAGGATTAAAAGGATTCCCCGTCGAACAAATTATTGAATTTTTTCCTTCTCGAAATTTTTCACTTTTTTGGATTATTGAGAAAATATATTTTAATTTATATAATAATAATAACGAATTTTTCAGTTGGAAATATCCGATTAAATATTTGTTGGGATAATAATAATAATGGAGTGGAGCGTAAGAGAAGTTTGAAAGAGAAGCCTATGGGATCGTAGGAATGTACGAAAAGTGGACAGTGGAAAGTTAAAACTTCGGTCACGGTAGATTTTCATCGGCTCATTAAGAGTTGCGTGGTTGGCATGCCTTCTCGCACATGTCCGAAATTAACTTTTCTCGTTTTAAGAAATGCAGGCAGAGATGGACAGGTTAACTGGAATTGGGCGATCGCGCGAATATAAATGTATTTATAGTGTGGTCGATTCTTCAAAATTAAGAGGCAAGGAATCACGTAGGAGGACGTCGGAAAATTCAGTAATTTTCCTTGAAGGAAATCATAAACATGTTACCAACCACCTAATTTATTATTATCGATGCTCTACTCGAAACAGGTTTTCCGAGTTTATCTTCTATACGGAATTTGGCAAAAATTTCATAAGGAAGAATCTGCTTTATATGCTTTGTACTTTATATCTTCTTTTTTTTTTTTTTTTTTTTTTTTTACTCGATAAATTATTTTCATTCGAGGAAAATAATTCTTTGGTATCTTCTTTATTATCGTTGGCAAATTTAATGAGTGACGGGATAAAGGCGGGTGAGATAGATCAAAAGAAGAAGTGAAAAATGAAACGAGTTTCGTTTGTGAAAGTTTCTCGGAGGACGGCTGGAATTCTGGAATCACGAAATTACGAGGCATCGTGTTCCCATTGCGACCTTCGTCCTAAATCCGGCATCGGTCTTACAGTGTACACCATAAAATATTTTGGTACCGGCCATTAAGTTTGTCTGACTTACAGGCATCGCGAGCCTCGGTTAATTCGGTTCGTTTCTAACTTTGAGACACTTTTTGGACGTTTTCTGGGTACACCTCAAAGGGGCTGTTTCTCGTGTAAATTTGCACGTGCAATGTTAAAGCTGCCACTTACGAATACATCGTCACTTTGCCATTTCTCGTCTGAAATATTTATTTTTCTTAAAACGAAATGATTCGTTCGTGAAAAAAGAAAGAAAGAAAGGAAGAAAGATATTTTACGGAAAAAAAAGAAAAAGAAAAGAAAAGAAAAAGGAATTGCGTAACATTATCGATATCAGAAACGAGGGGGGAAAAAGAAAAATATTTCTTTAAAAGAGAAATAGCTTAACCAATTAAATAACGAAAATTGAATCCTCGAAAATTATTTTAAACGATATTGTTAAATAAACGATATACAGTATGGAAAAATAATAAGTTAAATATTGTAATATTGCCTCCCCATCGGATCAAAGTTCATTTTTTTCATTAATCTCTTTCAAACGAAAAATTGGATTTTATTTCGTTTAATAAAGAGAGTCAACGATTTGAGAACGAAATTTCTAAAGCAGGGCAAAAAGAAAGCGATACGAATATACTTTTCAGATCGATATCAGGGGCAATAAGTGGCTGGTTGTTTTTTTTTTTTTTTTTTTTTATTTTTTGATACACGAAGTATCCTCCACGAGAGCACGTTTTATTCCCTATCCCCGTGTCCCCTAATTGTGTTGCATCCCTTAACTGATCCCAAATATTTACAAGCGATATGCATATTTCGCAACAACGGGCGATCTATGCGAGGGGTATGCGAGGGGATGAAGAGGAGAGGAAAGGGAGGGGGGCAAATTTTACGAGGCTCGTTGAAGAAGTAAATTTACCAAGTGTTTTCAACTCTTGAATGTTCAACGAACCGAGGCATAAAGAGACCGCCGTTATATCAAACGTATAGCACCTTTCAAGCTTATTTTTCTAAAAATAAATATCGATTCGTGTACCACGGTCCCACGTTAAACCGCTGATGATTCATTAGACTTATTATAAGAATTTAAAAATTTTCATTTTCCTAGATTTAAAAATATGATGGGGAAAAAAAAAGGAGGAAAAAAAAAAAAAAAACACCAGTCGTTTCCAGCAAAAACTCGAATATACTCGAGACAAATTTTTGTTTCATTCATCCAATAGCGAAACGAAGTTGAGTTTCCATAAATTTTAACTTTTTGGAAAACGTAAATTTTATGGGAGAAAAAAATTGTTTTTCATATACAAACCGCTCGAAAATTAAATCTTAAGAGAAATATATTTAAAAAAAAAAAAAAAAATCCGCGTAGAAATATCAGAGACGGAAATATCATAGAAACGCAATCATAGTTTTTTTTTTTTGCGGTTCCAACCTATTGTGACCGACGCTCTGTGCGACACCTTGCTCGAAACAATGGCTAGGATTTTCAAGTGCGTCGCAAGAGTACCAGACGTCGTACCAGAATCCAAGAGAAATGTCAGCCACGGGGACGTCGAATTGCGCCGCGTGCCACGACTGCCATCGGTGCCACCCTCATTCCGCTTCGTGCTTAAGCATTCTGAGAAGGACAATCGCGTTTAATGAAGTGAAATTGAAAATGCGGAGGAACGTGCGCCCCGCGCCATTGTTGTTGATCAACGTTACGTGGACGCGCGCCGATCGAATCGAATCCACGATATAACGCGTGACCGATTCATCGAAATCGAAGGGTGAAGAAGGGGGGAGGGGTGTCGTTGAAATGCACGCGTGACAACGTCGCTGTTATGAATCGAGCGTGAGACGAATAAACGGACGCCTCGACGGAATGATGATCAGAAGTGGAGCAGAAGAGAGAGAGAGAGAGAGAAAAGAAAATAAAAAGAAAATCGTTCGAATCGAAGGATCGAACGAGCAGGATGAAACGTCGCGGAAAATTGGGCGAGGAAGAATTCGAAGAGGAAGGAAGAATATTGGTCCGCGGACGATTTTTGCCATCGACGTTTATTACGAGCGTCTTTTTACGAGCAATTTCGAGTAATTTCGTTTATTTATAACAGGTGGGAATTTTAAAAGGGCGTGACGCGAAATTTTTTTCAGGTTTCCCGGCCGCAGAGACAACCGCATATTTTGTAACACGAGAGGAAAATTAAAACTTCGCTTCCAAGGGGGATGAAGAATAATTTAACGTATCGCGTAAATTCCTGTGTCCAGGTTTCATTTTCTCTTGTGTTCCATGTTTCACTCGTGTTGCCGCTTTCCATAATTTCGGATGGAGTTATGTAAAAATCGAATCGATCGTGAAGATTGTTTAAAAAAAAAAAAAAAAAGAAAAAACAACGGTAATTTCTTTGATGATTCTATTGTGCGGCTTAAAAAAGTTTTTCTTTTTTTTAAATTCTTCGTTTTTATCGTGGGGAGTAATAATTGATCTTCGATCTGTAAACACGATAATATTTACAAGTTTGATCGTTCGACTTTAAACTTATTCGTTCCGCTTTGGAATTTAATTCGTGCGTTTAATTTCGTTAAGATATTTCACGAAGAAAGTATAAACGTATAATTGTATTTATTTCTTTTCTAATAAGAAGATAGACTGTTCGTTTCGTGGGTGCGATTCTGATTGATCGATAGTAATTACGAGCTAATACTAAGCGATGTTGGAAATGGCGGCTTCGCGCCCGCCAGTTTAACCATGATTAATACCCCTTTTCACTATAACCGCAGCCAGAATAGCAACAAAGCTTAAGTCGCCCACAGCAAAGATTAATCGCCAAGAATTTTTGGCGCTTTCATCGGTTACGAAAATCTACACAAAAATCGATCCTTGATTCATACTGTGTATACATTAATATCATTAGAATCATCATTCGCAATATATATATATACATAATCGCAAATCTTAATTCAAATTATCAAATTTTCGATTATTCTCGAATTTTCACGATCACGCATCACATCTTTGAAATCAGATTTTCTCCATCAATCTGGTCCATTATCACCGGACCATGATTGTCCAGAGATGATTCGCCCCGCGATCGAAGGAATTTTCATGGAACGATCGAGAAATCGTGAAAAGGGTAATCTGTAACCTCCTCCCCCTTCCCCCTTTACGCGATTACGAGAGAAACAAACAGACGAGACGCATCGGTTCTTTTTACGAATCTCATCCCGTGCCGAGTTTATCGGCCCAACTAGAAATAGATTTTGCCGAGTTCGCATCGAGGAGACAGCCTCGCAGGGCTGGGCCCTTTGCCAAGGATGTCACTTAACCGCGAGAACTACTTTGCTATCCGTTCCAGAATACTGACCGCTCCTCTTATCTTCCCGACTCGCTAAACCGACCACGCTCCTCATTATCTTTCATCATTCCTTGCAGCAAATTTTCACAATCGTTTCCTTTTTCTTTCCTTTTTTTCGGATAAAATCAGATAATTAACCTCCTGCGTCAAAATTCTTGCGTGTAAAAGATTTAAAAAAGAAAAAAAAAAAAAACAAAAACTACCGATTTATATTTTAAGAAGAGAATATTTTAGAAGGAGAAAATTTTTTGAAACTTAGAAATCAGAGGGATAATTGGAAAATGATGCGTTAAGCGAAGGACGAGGAAGACGAATGTTTTGACAAATTATTATTCTAATCTCTGAGTCGATAAATTCGATAACGGTTCAACGAACGTCACTTTAATTTTTCACTTCGATTTCTATAAGATTTCTATAAGAAGAGAGTACGAAACAGAGTACAGTTTCTATCGTAAGAAACGACACATTTCGCTGGTAGCTACTCGACCGGTTATAAATATACGGAATTGGAACTTACCCGCGAGTGAGTTTTGTTTCCGCCCCGACAATACGGAGGATTTAGAGCCGCGGTAAAACGGCATGTGACGCGTGTTAAATTATCCAATTTGACAGTTTTAAATCAATGTTTTCGTGTTTACGGATACAGAAGAGGTTTTAATCCCCTCCGACGTATTAATTACCATCGATATTTATTCTTCGTTCGATGATCGTCATCGAATTATTATTATTATTATCACCA